GTGACATGAAAACACACATGCCCGTGCTGGAGATCCGCTTCCTGGAGTGCCGGGGTGAGCCTGTGCACCCAGACTGTGGCTGCCAGCCCAGCCTGGCCCTAAACCCACAGCTAGTCCTGATCCTGCAGCTCCTCCTACCACACTTGCTGCTTTTTGGGATCCACTGGCGGGAAGGTTGAGGAATGAGCTTCGTATGAGATGCTGCAGGTGCTGGGGGCACCTCGCCTCTTGTTGCAGCATCCAAGCCATGCTGGCTGCAGCACACGCAGCATCGCTGTTCTTTATTGGCAGACCAAGGGTACAATGTCCGTCTGCAGGGGATTAAGATCGTGTCCTTCTGGGAGTGGGACCTGATCCTGAATTCTGACATGTTCCAGCCGGCCCGGCTGGTTCGCTACCCTCTCCTGGAAGGGGTGGATGCCGACATGCTGTACCGGCGAGCTGTGCTCATTCAGAGGTACGGCACAGGGATGCCACAATTCCTGCAGTGATCTCAGTCCCAAAATCATCCTGCCTTGACCTGCAGGGCAGCCCCTGGAGGCAGCACTGGCCCCACAGAGACCCTCTGCAGTGATTCAGCTGCAGTGCAGCAGCATGGGCTGGGCAAAATGTTTGCAGCATTTTTTTGAGGGAAATGAAATAAAGTGCTTGGACAGAGGGTGCTGGGTGGGTGATGTCCCTCGATGGGCTGGAGGGGACCCATGTGCAGGGAGCACAGTCCCCTGGGGTTGTGGTGAAATGCTGCTCTCCTGCAGCCTCACACTGCTTCTCTCCTGTCTCCAGATTTGTCCAGCTCCTGGAAAGTGTCCTGTGTTACCTGATCCCCCTCTCCGAGGACAGCATCGGCACCTTCAATGCACTCAGGGTGAGCATGTGCCAGGCTTCCCTGCGATGGTGCCAGTAGTGGCATCTCCTCACAAGTTCAGGTTTTCTGGGGGCTGTAGTGTTTCCTCCTTATCTAGTGCGAACAGACCAGCTCAGGGCTGAGAGCTGCCATGTTTGACATGGCTTGAGGGATGGAAGAGCATCCCCTGTGACACCAGGGCTGACTTGAGGAGAGGAAAAGACAGCAGGTGGTGGCAGGATCAGACCTCTAACCATCCCTGCTTGTCCCTTGCTAGAGCATGAAGCCATTCCTGCTGCTGTCCAAGCAGAGTGAAGCCCTCATTGCCCACTGTCTGCAGTCCTCAGAGAGCTCTGCTCCTCACACCCTGCCAAAGCTCTACATCAACAGGCTCCTGGCCCGGGAGCACCGTGCCAACCCCGCGCTGGACCCCAGCTGTAGGAATGCCGTCTTCACCCAGGTATGGCAGCACCATGCCCTGTGCCAGGTACCTGTCACTTCAGCAGGTATCTTGCCCCCATCTCATCCCCTTTCTGCTCTACTACTCTCCAGCTGTATGAAGGCCTCAGATCTTCCAAGAACAATCAGCCCCTGGACTACAGGTAGGTCTTCAGTGTCATATTTGTGGGGTGTCACTTCCCCAGAGCAGGGTGCAAGGGGATTCCAGGTGCTGCTGGTATGCTCGGAGGAGGGATGTGCATGGGGCTGTTGCTTCCCCACAGGTGGCCCGTGACCCACAGCCAGTGGTGGGAGTGCGATTTCATCACTGAGGGCATCATTGATAATGGTGAGAGCTCTCCCCTGGTGTCTCATGTGTTGGGGTGCAGCTCATTGGGTGCCCAGGCTGGGAGAGGCAGCCCTGCTCTGCAAACATGAGATCATTCCTGTATCTCCCCTACCCCACCAGCGGTGCTGCTGCTGCCCCAGGGAGTGGGGCAGCTTGGCCAGATCCTGTGGCTCAGTGTCTGGCCCTGGTGTATCAGGCACTAACCATCCTCTGCCCCCCCTGCAGGTGGTGGCTTTCGGGACAGCCTGTCAGATGTGTCAGAGGAACTGTGTCCCAGCTCCAGCGATGTGCCCATGCCCCTGCCGTTCTTTGTGCGCACCTCCAATCAGGTTTGGCATCCCACAGTCTGCCTGTCCAGGCCAGGGGACTCAGCCAGCAGAGCCAGGGGTGTTAGCCCTATCTTCATGCTTGCAGGGCTATTGGCTGGGGGAGCTGTGCTTGTACCTGGGTGTTGGAGATCTCCTGGAGTGCTGTAAAGGGCAGGAGAGGCAGGTGGAGGGGAGAATGTAGGGGGGGCCTGCAGGAGGGACTACGCTGGGCTCGTCACATCTCTGTGCCTTAAGAGTCTCTCGCACAGGCTAACAGCAGCAGTGACAGCAGGGACATGTATGTCCCCAACCCCTCCTGCAAGGACTTCCCCAAGTATGAGTGGATCGGGCAGTTGATGGGAGCAGCCCTGAGGAGCAAGGAGCTTCTGGTGAGCACAGCAGAGCCTTCCTGGCCAGTGAGGGGGCTTGGCAGGGGCCACATTGTCTTGGGTAGAGGGGCTGCCCGTGGGTGAAGAAGAGGCAGGAGGAGAATGCGTGTGTCCACTCCTTTTGGCAGATCCTGTCTTTGCCGGCACTGGTGTGGAAGCAGCTGGCAGGGGAGGAGGTCAGCTGGAGCAAGGACTTTGCCACTGTGGACTCAGAGCTGGTGAGCAGGGCTGGGTGCTGGCAGGGCAGTGCTGTGCTGTCTCGTGGCTGCTCTGGCTCCACTGTGGTGACTACTGCACATTTGGATTTCAGGTGAAGCGGCTGGAGGTGCTGGAGAGGGTGGACAAGGAAGGCTTTGAGTTCATTTTTGGCAGAGAGTTGACGTACACAACATTGCTGAGTGACCAGCGCATGGTGGAGCTGATCCCCAACGGCAGCAACACCGCTGTGCGCTACGAGGACCGCAAGGAGTTCATCCGCCTGGTGCAAAAGGCTCGGCTGGAGGAGAGCAAGGAGCAGGTGACACTGTCCCCCAGGGCTGACAGGGCTGCAAGGGGACCCTGCTCCTGTGGCAAGACGTCCTGGTACTTGTGGGACTGGTGGTTGCCAGCTCCATCTGGGTGTTTCTTTGTGCATCCCATGCCCAGGATGTCCATGTGTCCTGGTGATGCCTTTTGGGGTCCTGTGGTTGCTGTCCCCGGAGCCCTAGGTGGCTGCCTGGGGCTCAGACCCACTGTGGTGACATGGAGCCTGTCCTGTGTCCCATAGATTGCAGCCATACGTGCCGGGCTGCTCTGTGTGGTGCCCCAGCCCGTGCTGGACCTGCTCACCTGGCAGCAGATGGAGAAGAGGATCTGTGGGGACCCTGAGATCACAGCAGCTGAGCTACAGAAGTTCAGTGAGTCACAGGGCCAGCCCAGAGCTGCTCCCTGCCCTCCACAAGGGCAGGGGATCCCCTTGATAATGCTTGTCGTGCACATGCATCCTGGTCACGGGGTGTCTGAGAGCCTGGGGGAGGATAAGCTAGAGGGTCCCTGGATGCTTCAGGTTTAGCAGCAAACCCCACTCTGGTCCATCTGGTCCTTATCCTTATCAGAGGGGAATGGCCACTCTGCAAACTAGGACCTCTGTTTCTCCACCCACCATGACACAAGGTGCTCGTCCCACTCAGGGGTGCCAGGGCTCACCAAGGAGCACAGTGTCTCCTCCTTTCCTTTGCTTTGCTGGAAGTTTCTAATTAAGCCATTTCACATTCTTTGTTGCAGTCAAGTTTGATGACTTCCCCTCTGATGATACCCGTATCCAGTATTTCTTGGAGGCACTCAACAACTTCACCAGTGGTGAGTGACCCCAAACCTTTACCTGCTCTTCTTGTGCAGTAGGACAGGCTAGGGTATGGGGTACCCACTGTCCTGTGCCCCAGGGGTGCTCACCAGATGCTTTCCTGGGAAGCAGCTGGGGTCATCCCACCCGGCCCTTCCTGGGATTCTGAGAGGATCCCTTAGCTTTGCCCCATGCTCCTGGGGTGATTGTGCAAGGCAGATCTTGCTGGGACAGTCCTGTCCCTGAGACCTGAGCTCTGTCCTTCCTCTCAGAGGATCTTAGCCGTTTCCTCAAGTTCGTCACCGGCCGGAGCCGCCTCCCAGTTGAGATCCGTGTCTACCCGGAAAGGTCGAAGTGAGTCCATCCTGCCTGGGGTCCCTGTGCCATGCTGGGGTCCCCCCATGATATCAGGTTGCCGTGCTGGGGTCTGACTCTCCTTTCTCCCAAGCTTGGATGCGTTGGACTTGATGCCACAGGCCTGCACGTGCTCCTGCAGCTTCTTCTTGCCCAACTATTCCTCGTGAGTTGAGCTGGGGCTAGGGATGCTCCCCACTCCCTGGGGCTGGTGCTGGGGTTCCCATCAAGACTCCCCAGGCCTTCCCCAGGGGAGGGAAGCCTGAGGTTTTCAGTGGCCATCGTGGCTGTGACCTGGTGTTCCCCCTGCCAGGGCCAAGGTCTGCGAGGAGCTGCTGCGCTACGCCGTGTACAATTGCATGTCCATCGACACCGACAAGAACCCCTGGGATGAATGACACCCCCATGTGCCCCACACCAGGGGAGCCTCGGGGACACTGGATTCAATAAAACTGCAGGGCCAGATCCTGCTGTCCTGCCCCAGGTGCTGTTTGTGTCTGTGCTTCTCGAGGTCAGGGGCTGCAGCTGGAAGGGTCAGCATGGCATGGCCGCTGGGTGCTGCCCACACAGGCTGTGGAGAGCGTGCCATGTGGGGACAGGGAGCACTGTGAGTCCTGTCCCTTCTCTGGCCATGGTGTGGGGAGCACAGCTGCAAACTGACCCCCTGTGTCCCCAGTACAGAGCCCCCGGTGTCCCCAGTATCCCTCACACAGAGTCCCCAGTGCCCCTCACACAGAGCCCCCAGTGTCCCCACACAGAGCCCCCAGTGTCCCCGGTACCCCCACACAGAGCCCCCAGTGTCCCCACACAGAGCCCCCAGTGTCCCCACACAGAGTCCCCGCTGTCCCTCCATTACCTCTTTCCGGCCGCCTGGGGGCGCTGTTCCGCCGAGCGCCCCCCGCCGCTGGGCCGGGATCCATGACTCGGTGCTCGGCAGCGCGGGGTCTCTTCGCTCGGCATTCCTCTCGCCGTCCTGGCTGGGTGGAGGCCGCCCGCAGCCCACCAGGGAAGCGGATCGATTCTATCGGCGCTCGCCCGCGATCGACGCTCTCGGCTGCCCGCGCGCAGGCGCAGCGCGGCCGCGCCGCCATTGCTGCGCTGTCAGTGCCGGGAGCGGTCGCAGGGAGCGGAGCCGTGAGCCGGCCTTGTCTCAGCTGTCCCGGTGAGGCCCTGCCTCTGTGTGTCACTCCGCCACACGATGGAGTTCCAGGCCGTGGTGATGGCGGCCGGAGGCGGCTCCCGCATGACGGACCTGACCTCCAGCATCCCGAAGCCGCTGCTCCCGGTGGGAAACCGGCCCCTGCTCTGGTACCCGCTGAACCTGCTGGAGCGCGCCGGCTTCGAAGGTGAGGCACGGCGGGCTCTGGGCGTGCTGACCCTGGTGACCGCGGGCTCCCCTGGTCACTGCGGGCTGTCCCGGGTCGCCGCCGCCGCTCCCGCCCGTTCTCCCGCCGTTCTCCCGCCGTGCCGCAGGTGCCCCGTTGGCCGCGGCAGGTGCTGTAGCGCAGCTCCCCCGTGCGCTGGGGCTGTGCTGTTGGCCCGTGTCGCATCCCTTCCTGCCCTCTCGGCTGCGCTCTCTGTGCCTGCGCCCCTCTTCTCAGCGAGGGCCGCGGGTGTCTGAAAGGAGGTTGTAGGGAGCTGTGTGTCGGTCTTTGCTCCCACGAGAGGAAATGGCCTCAAGTTGTACCACGGGAGGTTTAGATTGGATATTACGAAAGTCTTTGTCACTAAAGGGGTTTTAAAGCATTGGAAGAGATTTCCCAGAGAAGTGGTGGTGTTACCATCCCTGGAAGTGTTCAGAAACCATTAGGATATGACACTTGAGGACGTGGTTTAGTGGTGAACGTGGTGGTGGTGCTGGTTGGTTGGACTTGATGATCTTCATGATCTTTTCCAACATTGCAGCGATTCTGTGACTCGAGGCCTTTCCCAGCTCTGATGTCGTTCCCTGGGTCGCTAACCTGAGTCTCCCGTGTTTCTTTCTCAGAGTCATTAACGGCAGCAGCGTGAGACGTGCCAGCTCTCTGGGGATGGCTGGTGGTTTGTTGCTTCAGCCTGGCCCAAGCTCGGGGCTGCTGGCTCTGAGTGCTCAGTCCGTGTGGCTGCAGAGCTGAGCACCCTGCTCGCCCAGCAGGGCGGGGGCAATGGCAGAGTGCTGCTCACCTGTGCCTTTGTTTCACACCAAGACTAAGGTGCTGTTTAGTACCTGGTGAGCTTCCTCAGTATCTTCTAAGGTTAGGCTTTTGTTCACCTTTTGAGTGCTGGACCAAATCTTTCTGTGGCGCCCCCCCAACTTCTTACAAAGGTTCTTCCTGACACCTTTCAAGCATCTGGGCTTTTTGTGCTTGTGTTTGTTTTTTTGTGTTTCTTCTCTGTTTTGTCTCTGTGATTATTCTGTACTTCATCCTGAGTCTGTGGTTTTCTTCCTGACTGTTCCTATCTTCTGTAGAGATGAGCTCATGATTATCCATGTTAGTCTCTTACTATTTCAGTGGGAGGGAACAAAACTAAGAGCAGACTTTGCCTTTATTCTGTTTCATTAGAAAATCCTAAAGAACTTATGTTCTTTGGATTTGTTTTTTGTTTGTTGAAATCTGCATTCTGATTGTCTGCCTTCTGTCTGCCTGTTCTCCTGTCTTTTTTTATTTTAGTAGCTGCCCCTCTGCACAGCCCTGGTGAGGCACATCTGGAGTGCTGTGTCCAGTCCTGGGCTTCTCAGGACAGGAAGGACATGGAGCTCCTGGAGCAGGTCCAGTGGAGAGCAACAGAGATGATGAAGGGTCTGGAGCACCTCCCTTATGAGGAAATGCTGAGGGAGCTGGTCTGTTCAGCCTCGAGACAACTGAGAGGGAACCTCATCAATGTCTCTCAGTCTCTGAGAGGAGGTGTCAGAGGATGGACCAGGCTCTGCTCAGTGGTGCCAAGCAATGGTACAAGAGGAAACAGGGAGAAACTGATTCCCAGGAAGTTCCCTCTGAGTATAAGGAAGATTTACTGTGCAGGTGACCGAGCACTGGGACAGGCTGGCCAGAGAGGATTTGGGATCTCCCTCACTGGGGATATCCCAGAGCCATCTGGACACAATCCTGTGCAGTGTGATTTGAGATGAGGCTGCTTGAGCAACAAAGATGATGAAGGGACTGGTGCATATCCCTTATGAGGAAATGCTGAGGGAGCTGGTCTGTTCAGAGGTGAAAAGAGAAGACTGAGAAGAGACCTAATCAATGTCTCTCAGTCTCTGAGAGGAGGTGTCAGAGGATGGACCAGGCTCTGCTCAGTGGTGCCAAGCAATGGTACAAGAGGAAACAGGGAGAAACTGATTCCCAGGAAGTTCCCTCTGAGTATAAGGAAGATTTACTGTGCAGGTGACCGAGCACTGGGACAGGCTGGCCAGAGAGGATTTGGGATCTCCCTCACTGGGGATATCCCAGAGCCATCTGGACACAATCCTGTGCAGTGTGATTTGAGACGAGGCTGCTTGAGTAGGGAGGTTGGGTCAGATGACCCAGTGTGGTCCCTTCCAGCCTGAACCATGCTGTGGCAGTCAGACCTTTCTCCTTTCTCACACGTAGTGCTGCAGCTTACCTGTCTCCAGTGAGAATGTGGACGTGCAGGGTTGTACTCAGTAAATGTATTCAGCTCCAGTAAGCAAACTGCCACCTTCCTGCTCCTTCTGTGCTTCACACCCGTGACCAAGCTGTACATCCCTGCATTCAATGATCCACTGGCATGAATTCTCTCCCTGGATGATTAGTTCCTCATACTTGCTTATGTAAGTAAGTAGGTGTTCCATGGGCTGACTCACTGTTTCTTTTGCCCTAATTGCAAGTGCTTCATCTCCTAATATTTAGGAGGCCTTTGCCCAGCTCACCAGGTTTATGCTGAACTGCGTGAGCTTAGAACTTGCACCTGACACCAGTTCCCTCTTCATCAGTTAATTCTTTGCCTAGTTCAAGGTGTGCTTTCAGTCCTTTTCTCTAGGTTCTTCAGCCTCTTTTGAATCCACACTGGCATCCAGTATGGGAGTGGAAGAGCAGCCATGTCTCTGGCACCAAAATGCCACACAATTCCCATGTTTACAGTTCCTTCCTCTTTTCTTTTAATAGGTTCAAGATGAGTTGAGTTTTGATTGGTGCAGATTTATTCCTGATGTGTTTTCATCTTGCCTATACTATTATTATCATTATTACTTCTTATTTCCTATAATTCTCTGTTAAAATTCCATGTGGAATACAATGTTATAGTGTTGAGGTGTTTTGAGGGGGTATTTTAACTGGAAAATTTGATTGTTGCTTTTCCTTCCCATTCCTAAGACTGGAGGAAAAGGTTTCTTGTTGTCTTGTTTCCTCAGCCTTTTCTTTGCAGAGCTTCTGTTCTCACATTCTTCATTTTGGAAAATACGCTTTCATGCCAGTGTTGATTTCCTTCAAATATGTATTTATCCTTTTTCTTTTGTAGATGGAATGAGTCTGTTGCTCATATATTACTGCACTTTCTTGCCAAGCTGATGCTGAGAAATAGTTTAACCATTGTATTGTAATAGTGTGGTTGGTGTTGTCCACAGAGGATTGCACAGGATCGGGGCAGCAAAAGACGGAGCTCTGAAGTGTTGGTGACATGAACACAGGGTCCCATTGGTCTGTTTGAGGACATATGGTTTGAGGCTGCTGGTTAATGATAGAAGTGTCTGTTCTATCTTGCTAACTCATGCCACACATGCATGTGTCCCTTTCAGTAACAACCTCCACCCAGCAAAGCAGGGGAGATTGTTTTCACATTCATTAGAGTTTAATTCTTTTCGTGAAAAGTTACTGTTGCCAAAAGAGCTTGACTGGGTGGAGAACCCAGTTATGTTACTCAAGGCTTTTGACAGTTCCATCTGCCTTTCTAAATAACAAAGTGGGTGTATCCTATTTGTGATAAATACTATTTAGATTTTTTTTCTGCTTCATCTCATCTCACTCTCCTTTGTCCTAGAGGTCATTGTGATTACAAGGAAGGAAATCCAGAAGATGCTAAACCTGGACACAAAAATGAAGCTTGATTTTGTGTGCATCAGTGACAACATGGACATGGGTACAGCAGATTCACTGAGGCATATTCACCAGAAAATTAAGGTATTACTGTCTTTTATTGAACTTAAATGGAAGTTTATTTGTTTATAATTTTTTTTGTTGTGTTGTAAGGAGTTCCTGTGCATAACTGAATTTCCTGGTCTTCAAAAGAGCTGAATTTTGTAAAGGCCACCTCACAAGGGAACTCTCACAAAGACTCTGAACGATTGCAATTGGGAAGGCTGGAGCCTGTTCGGGCTGGGCTCTGGCTGCCTCTTGGTCAGTGTTAGCTTTCTGGAGAGGTAATTAAAAGGTTGTATTTGCTTCTATGATTTTTTGATACAGTGTGTGATAGTTGTTGTCCGTCTACCTGGTGCTCGGGGGAGCAGCTCTGCACAAACGTTCTTTGCTGTCTAAGGCTCCAGTGATGCTCCAGAGAGTTTGGGTTCGCTGCTGGCCGTGACACAGGCGTGCCTGCGCTCTTGGGTCAGTCCCTTGTGCTGGGCTTCAGTTTTCTGCTTTTCCTCTGCTTTTGTTCCCTTGGTCTTACAGTAAGCTCTTCAGTAAACAGTGCTCAGATGTGATAAAGGGCTGCTGTTCGAATAAAACCAGCAGTTTATAGAATTTTAATTTCCAGCTGCATAATTAAAACACTCCCATGTAAGGCAGAAATGCTGCTCGGAGCTCTTGCTGTGATCTGGGACGGAATTTTGTTTTTGTTGCTGTCATAGACTTAATCATAGGATTTGTTCCCTGTCTGTTTAGGCCATCTTAGCCAAATTGCCTGTTTAAATAAATGTTGCAACAGAACATCAATGAGTGCTTAAGCTGAGGTTTCTTTTTGAAGCTCTTTTTGAAGCTAATAAAGTGCAGTGTTACAGGCTATGTACTCCCAAGAGAAAGACTTAATTTGAGACAAGGTGAAACTTCAAGGCAAATACAGATGTGTAGATGGCATGAGACAGTTCTGGCAAGGGATTAATGTACAGACTGGTATTCAGAGGGTGAAGAGAATACATGACAAAGAAAATAAAAATTAACAAAATTGGTGTAACTGAACTGAATGTTTCTGTCATGTGGAGAATCAGGTTTTGTCATAACTCAGTTTGGCAGTGTTTTTTAAATACACGCTTGCAATAAGGAAGTATCTGCACTGCAAATTGGGACCCTGACCTTACAGTTTTATTGTCTGATCAGTGACAAGCCCTTATGTTGGGATGTCTGTCTTTTTGGTAATCCAGGCAGGTCTTCTTAGGGGCCCTGGGAGGCAGCAAGTAGAGTGTCTGTGAGTTAGAAAATAGTGTGTCTTCACAGGCGGCAGTGTTGATCTTCTGTTTATTTTCCAGAAAAAAGGCTTAGAGAAGATGTGAGGTAGTCCTGAAAACCACACAAGTTTTACTCAGTCAGATGCTATGTATGAGTGGCAGCAGCTGCTTCTGCCCTTTTTATTCCATGTCTGCTTCCCTGGACACAGAGGACAAAGTGGTCTCTTATTTGAAAGAAGCCTATACTAAGTCCTTGAGCAGATTGCTGCACTGTGTATTTTGGAGTCATTCCTCTAGTAAATGCATACCACTGGTGCACCTCTTACAGGGAATGCCCTCTCCTGTGTGATATAGGTGAGAGAACTCCACGGTAGAGGTAGCTGAAAAGCTGCTGTATGTTGGCTGTGTTTGCGGTGCAGCGGGAGAGTGATCACGTTGAAGAATGAGTTTCCCTGGTGAAAACAACTGCTTCTTGTGGCCATAGTTTGCTGGCAGGCTTTTTGCAGCCCATGCCAAAAGTCTGATGAGAAGTTTAAACTCGTTGCTGAAACTTAGTTGTCACAAATTGAGTTAATTGCCCACAGACAGAAGAGCAAGTATGCTCAGTGAAAGCAAGGTAACGTGGCACAGTATAGACAACTTGCTTGTGTGCAGTGCAAGTGACAGGGAGTAGAGCCAAGACTATAAATGCACAGTAAGAAATATGGCTAAAGGTAGCAGAACTGCTGATCACAAATTCTAAGATGTGCATAAAGCACTCTATAACATTTCATGACTTGCTGCCTTGTCTAGCTTTGACTGAAGGAGTCTCGCTGCTGCTTGCTGTGCCTGCAGTTTTGGGCCTTTTTGTTGTGTCCCTCCTTGGGTAATGAAGCTTGATACTTTAAAGATTAGATGTCAAGATTAGACTTACAGAACTGCATTCAGAAGTAGCAGGAGAGCACCTACATGCAAAACCTGTAAGGGCTAAGGAAGCTAGTTTCCATTGTTTTCTCTCTTTATGGTGCTGCTGTTTTTGGTGGCACGTGAGACTGACTTTTCATTCACAGTAACAAGCATCTGACTGTCAGTCTTACTTTTTGCAAGTTGTTAAGAAGTTCATGAGAGCAAAAGAAACTCATTAAAGTTTTTGCTTGCTATTTGCCCACTCTGCACACATAATAACGTTTTTGACAATTTTGCTTCGAAAGTTGATATACTAGATGCAGGTTCTTTCTCTATTGGAAGTCTTCCTGTTATTTTTGGCTGTCTCAGCCTTCACCTGATTGACAAGGTAGCAGCTTCATTGGGTTTTTTATGTTCATTACAAATCTGAATATATCCTTTTCTTGGATCCTTCATACAACAAAAATATTATGCTAAAACTTCATTCCTAAAGACATCTACTTGAAAAGTAGTGAACACCAGAAAACTTGGTCCTGTAAGTTTCACTTTGTGTATTCCTAGGCCTGGGTGTCAGTCTGGCCTGTTCTTTACCAGTACTTCTCTAACTGACTTGTGTAGTGCATTGTTTTGTTTGGTTTTATTGAACATTCAGTTCTAGGGTGTGAATAGCAAACACCATTAATCAGCTTGTCCTCTCAATTCTCCAACTGAGAACTGAGGCATAATGAGGTCAAGTGATTTACCTGGGATTGTTGAAGAGATTTGTACCAGTACTGGAAAATGAACTTCTGTCTCAAATCTCTTAGTTTCAGCCATAAGATAACCTTATGATATTACATATTCTGTTTAATATTGCATACTCTGTTTCCCTACCTTCAGAAAGCCAGCAGGACAAGACATTAAATACAAGCTGAAGCTGTTTTAAGTGAAAACAGTTGAGGACTGTAGTTCAGTTTCTGAATCTCCAGTGTTGTGGTTTATTCAGAGTGCTAGTTATTCAGTGTGCTAGACTATGATTTAAAAAGGTCCTCAATCTGGAATGTGTCAGTCTGAATATAAGTAACTGAAAAATACTTTTGCATTTCATTATAAAAATAGTTCTAATTATAAAAATATTTTTTCACTTAAATAAGATTTAAAATACTTAATATGAAGTAAAAATGAAGGAATATTTTGGCCTGCATGTATATTACCAAATTTTTAAAAAAGACTCTTAAAATTTGTTTTACACTAAGTGCAGCACTTAAAATTAAGTTGTCAAAAAGCAAAACTGTGGGTATAGGACCTATTTATTTCTTAAGTTATTTGCTTTATACAGGGATATGAAAGCAGTTTGTTAAAGAACATTGTGACAGCTGTTGATCAGATCCCTTAACTGCCCTCCTATGGACCGTCCCAGCATTTCCCTAGAATGCAGCTTGTTTTAGGATCCTGCTACAGTCTGTGTGCCTTATGACAGCTTTTGTGGGTAGCATTTTAATACCCAGTCTCAGTGTTTTGATAGAATTTTAATACATCACTGTCAGTTTTACTTTTGGCCTTTTAAGTTCCTAGTTTTCTGCTCATCCTTTGAATGACTGCTAATGAATGGCTTTTCAAAATAGAAAAATGAAAGTAGAGCTCCAAAGACTTATTTCATGTTTATATGTAGAATTAGAAGTGGTAGAACACAGGCTGTATAGACTCACAGTTGATGGTAACAGTGCTGCTGTTGAACTGCACCTGTACCACCCTAGGGGTGTTTAGAGGTCTCTGTTACCTCACCTTCTAGCCTTGGCAGAGCAGTCAGTCAGTCTTCATGCCTTTAGGTTTGGCTTGACCTTCCTGCTCTTGAAGAGTGAAGAAAGCTCCCCTGCTTCAGATGGAGCTTCAGCAAGGGCATGGTGTATAGAGAAATTTAATCTATTCTGGAAGATGACAATCTGCTTCTGTAGCTGAGTAAAATCATTACAGGAACACTGTCTTTGTTTGTTTGTTTGTTTATTTATTATGCCTTCTGGCTTTAATTTTCTTTCAATTGTTCACATATGCAGTAATACTAGAGTAATTCTGAACGGTTTTACTCACTAAAAACTTCAGTACCTTTTGAGTTACTGCCTTCCCTGCAGTATGAAAGTGAGGTGGGTCCAGCAAGACTTACAGGACAAAAAAAGGGGCACTGCTTTTGACTGTTTTACTTCATGACTATCAGTGTTTGAAAAACTGTGTTAAGTAGTGGTGTTCTAGTCTCTTGCTTTGATGGAGTCAATCTGCTCTTGTCTTAATCTCTTGTTTGCACTAAAGAATATTCTTAACCTGTCAGGAAGTGTTGGAAAAAAAAATAGTTAGCATAGGTATAAAAAATTCTTATTGTACAAAAAAAGAAATCAGACTTTCTTTTATGAAATCTCATTTTCCACACCCAGATTTTTTTTTCCTGTCACTTTCTGATTCTACTCTTTAAATATCTTTCATCAGTCAGTTAGGCTGTTGCTGGTTGCTGTTTCACCCATTACAGGCATGAGAGGCATGTTGCCTTTGCACACTTTTCTAGCAGCCTGGAGAATCCGTGTGGGGGAAGAAATAATTTGCTTTCTTAGGGATCAGGTCTTCTAAAAACTAAGCTTCCATTAGGGATGAAAGAGCAAACAATTTGAATGTAAGTAAGGCTTAATCTAGCTCTGGGCATGAACAACGAAATACCTCATCCGTAGATGATAAGAAAACATTAATCTTGCTCTGGATTTGTACTCAAATTTCCTCATATATACTGCTTCAAGATTAAGGGGGTTTTAGATGTGATTAGTGCTTGGCATTTTTAGTGAAACAGTAAAGCTGATTTTGCAGGTGGACACAGCAGGTGTTAAGGTGTAATTTAATAACTTCCACGACCTTGTTTTTATTTGTTTAGCATCCTAAACTTGCTAATTGCTT